TATATATATATATATACATATATATACATATGACTAGAGACTCCAATTAGCCCGCAAGGAGACATGGTTTTCTCTTTTCTTTTCTTGCATTCCCACAGTATACCTTTGCAGTACCTCGCAAAACTTTTGCATTACCTCACAATAATTTTTGCATTCCTATGCCGCAGTATGTTATAATGTAATAAAATCGAGCTTCAAAATGTAATAAAACTGCACTAAAGCCGCATTATGTAATACTCACAGATGCATTATGTAATAAAATTATTGCATTTTGCAGGGATTGTTACAAAATCGTTGCTCTTTTTAGAAATAATAWTGTAACAAACATCACAAACCAGTGTTTTTGTTCATTCTGTTCAAAAATTTGTGATAATGATCACTTCATAAGGCAGTTTTAGTGCAGTTTTGTTWCATTTTGAAGCTAGACTTTTTGACATTATTGCAAACTGCAGCATTACATGTCTACTTTAGCAATGACTTTGGTAAGRAGCCTGAGATGATTAAGAAGCAGAAACTGTTGGAAAAGATTAAACAGTTGATAAAGTCTCAGTAATAATGTTGTAACCAAAAGGTTTGAATAAATAGGCTAAAACAAACAAAAAAAATATAAAAATAAAGAACAGTAAACTGTGTGTGAACCTTCGTCTATAAAAAGTCTGGTGCTAAAAGCGACAGGTTYAATCCCCAGGACGTGGTCCACGTCCCAGTCTTACCCATTACCACCAGTGACACCTTGAGCGAGTCCACCCCAGGTGACTTCTTCACCTTGCACCGGTAGGTGGCGCTGTGGGCAGGTGAMGGCCGTGCGATGCAGAGGGAGGCGTCGCCTTTGGAGGGGTCACCTGCAGCAAAGCTGAGCCCCCCGTTAGAGGCCTGGTCACCGTGGTGGTGCTGAGTGCCGCTCGCATACGATAAGAGCTCATGGAAAACAACAAAGGAAGAAAGCAGATGGATTTAAATGAGCGTTGATGAAAATAGTTTGATACAAATCATCCTGAGCTCTGCAGCTTTAAGGAACTTTTCTTATTGTTTTAGTTTCTGGTGCAGTTGAGTCTCTGCATGCTCAGTGGCACGCTGCCAGCCCGGCAGCAGGAAACAGTTCTCTAAAGGGCACAAAAAAACCCCAGCAATATACTCATGACTTGTTTTCTTTATTTATTTTATGCCAAGCACAATAAGACAGACTTGTAAAGAACGAAACAAGCTGAAGATGAATTCAATGCCACAAACTGATATTTTATCTAATTAGCCGAGACTACTTCCTGAAAAAGTGTCTGCAGGTCAGCAACCAGCCACAAATGAAGGATAATAGGTGTCTGTCTCCTGTGGATAATTGCGTTTTTTTTTTCTGGATGTGCGAATGGCTCGTACACTCACACAAGTTTCTGATGTTATAATTGCTAGAATTGTGGCAACATGACACTGATTTATTTAAACAATTTTATCAACTTGACAAAAAACACAAAGACTTTATTTTGGTGTTCGTCTGCTGTTTACCATCAGTTTACAGTGGAGACTAAAGTTGATAGCTTGTGGAAAGTTCTCATGGCTTATTTAGGCCTTTTATGTTCTTTGTTTGTTTGTTCTCTATAGTTGTGTACAWATTCTTATACCACCTGTATTGTGCTGTACTATGAAGTAAATTTAACTGACCAGTTCTTTGGTTTGTTGGGGTTTTTTAGACCTGGTGATACTCCAGTGTGTCTCAGTAAAACAGATGGAGCTGATTCAAAGAACCAATAATAAAAAAAGGCTGAAAAAAAAAGAGAAATACTGCAAGCACAAATTAAAAACGTTACCAGTATTACTGCCAATGATATTGGCGGTAGTTATTATTTTCTTCTGTATGTTTTTTGGCATGTATTTTCTTCCACWATTTTGGTGCAATTTTAACAATTTATACAACAAAACGTTCAGCTTGTTCGGTACATGCCTACTATGACTTTTGGTATTTCAGCTATTTATACTTTTGGAGATATTTAGCTTTTTTCTGCCTTTTTTTCTCATTGAAAATGAATGGAGTGGTTTTCAACATCCTTAAAACCCTTCAAAATGTTCATAAAACTTCCCCACGTGTTTATAACTTTTACTCTGATTCTGTCTTTTTTATTTATTTTACTTTTACTTATGCTGATTTCAGCTTCTATTTAGTTGATTTGACAGTTTTCTGCTTTTGTAGATTTCATTTTGACCTCTTCTGTGATTCTTTTGCAAACTTAAGCTATTTCTTTCTTTCAGCTGATTTCAGCAGTTTTAAAGTTTTTAGCTACTTTTTAGCTCCATCCATCCATTTTCTGCACATGCTTATTCCTTTCAGGGTCRYGGGGGTCACTGGTGCCCGTATCCAGCRGTCACAGAGGGGCGGGATGGACACACATAGAGACAGACAACCATTCACTCTGTCACTCACAGCCAGGGACAATTAGAGTTATCAGTTAACCTAACAGTCATGTTTTTGGTCTGTGGGAGGAAGCCGGAGTGCCCGGGTACTTTTTAGCTCATTTCAGCTAAATTCAACTCGTTGCTGAATTTARCAAATGTGCTTTTTCTGTTTCTTTGTGCGACTTTCAGCTACTTTCTTTTAGCTATTATGTTTTAGGTTATTTACAGCATTTTCTTTTAGATATTTAAAACAAATTGCAAGTATTTCTTTTCTTGTTTTTTGCTGATTTTATAATGTTCACTCTTATTTCCTATATTATTATCTCTGGCTTGTTTCATCTAGCTTCTTTTTGAAAATTCGAGCTACTTCTTTGCTATCTTCAGATTTTTTTGTCTTTCTACCAACTTTTTCAGTTTTGTTGACCTCTTTGCAGCTAAAATCATCTGTTGAAACTGAACTCACGTGAACAGTTTTGCTTTTTAACCTCTTCAGCTTCTTCAACAGCAAAAATCTTTCAGCAGAATTCACTGAATTTTTGCTAAAAAAATGCAATTTCTCTCATTTAAGGCACAAGTTCTCAGACTTTTATTTTCATTGAATTAATGTGCCACAAAGCAGTTTCATCATAAGTTGCTGCAGTCAGAGACTCAGGAAAATTTAAACCAGATTCTTGAAATAAAGAAATCCTGTTTTATAACAGAGCATTGTTGCCACCCAGTAATCACCCTTCTCAGTTCGTTTACTCCCTGATTTGCCTCAGTTTTACTGTTTGACACAGTTAAACTCCGCTGTTTGTTTCTGTTGAGCAGGTTTTGTTGTTGTTGTTGTTAAACACCTGGTTTAATTATCATTTTGAAGAATTTTCTGAGAAGCCTGAGAGGAAAATAAAGACATGATTTGCTGTAACCTACATTTATATCACATTGAGCCAGCTGGATGCAAAAAAAAAAAAAAACTCCTTCAAACATGTTTTAACATCAAAGTGTGAAGAAGGACCTGAAGATTAAATGTCTTTGMTCCATTTTTAGTTGAATGAACTAAAAAGCGTGGTTTTAAAAATATTTCACATGATGCATCAAAGCATTGAGCTTTATTTTGATGTCTTTATTGTTTACTGTGATGAATCTTACCATTCTGTCCTTTTTGGTAGAGTCTGGACTGACCACAGACCACTCAATGTCCAGGTCTCCTGTGTCGGATGGACTCTGGGAGTACCTGCAGCCCAGAATCACCTCCTCTCCTGCAGCCTTCTGGATGCTCCTCCATCCTGATGATGTCACCGTTAACCCTTCGGCTTGTCTCGCCTCTGTGCAAATTCAAACCAAACCAGACGTTTAGATCTAAAAACTCTTTCTCTTCAAGTTTACTGAGCCAGAATGCAAACACTTTCATGAAGGTGTAATGTTGATTCAAGGTGCTTTTGCTTATAAGAGTTTCAGCTATAAAATAAGACAAACAGAAGTGGCAGCAAGTAGACAACTTTTAGAACCTGATGGTGCAAAACCAGTTTTAGACCCATCACGTTAAACTGAAAGAAACTTCATTTCTGAAGCATTTATCTTATCTAAAGATACACAAAACACTACAGACTCTTCCAGGAAAATGTGACACAACTRTAATTGTGCTTTTCAGGGGTTCAAGAGTTTCATTTAGTGTTACTATGACAATATGTGGAATGCTTTTATTCCACTTCAAMCCCACGCCGCTCTGTCTTAATGAGAAAAAAACCACTCGGATCAACACTGTTTATGTATGGTGCAGGCTTCCTGAGACACCGAGCTGTGAGAGAAGAAGAGAAAAGCTCAAATCCCTGGGATGGAGTTTGACAATCCTCGCGGAACAGAACGTCACAGTCTTGTTAGATGAGCTTGATCACCCCCTGAGGCCCGACTCTTCCCCGTTTCAGAACAGAAACGAAAGTCGTAGTTTGTGATTCCCATCGTAAAGTAACTATTTATACTTAATATTTGTGTTCAAGCTTGAGCTGATCTGCTTACCTGTGCTCAGGAGCGCTGCAGAGAAAAGGAGCCATGGTGGGCAGAAATATGATCCCASTCTGAACATTCCTGTCCTGTTGGAATTAAATTAATCAGTAAAGTCTTTACAAACACAGACAAAAGACAAGCGATACCAGTAAGTTTATACTACCTGAAAGTACGTGCTGCATCCAAATACCTGTAAAAGTTGCTTCTGTGAGTCTTTCTTTCTTCTCTGACTAATACAGGCGACGCTGCTGTCCAATCAGAGAGCTTTACAGAAAGAAATAATATCCACTCTCTATTAGTCGGATTTTAAGAGTCAGGACAGTCTTCACCAGGTTCCAAATTTCATTTAAATGTGACCTCAGGTGAACAAAACACACAGCCGTTATCATTAAGTTTTTATTTTTTACACATTAATGTCAAAATAGAAAAACTGTAAAAGTGGTTGTAGAGTATTTACTTTATCAGGCTCTCACACRGTTGTGGAGGAATCTTTTCCACACTTCTTGCTTTTGTTCGTTGAGGTTCGCAGATCTTAGTTTCTGCTTATTTTAATCAGGTTGAGGTCTGGACTTTGGACCGTTTCAGCATCTCAATTCTGTCCCTTTTCAGCTGTTCTGTTGAAGATTTGTTCTTGTTTCTCATTGTCCTGTTGTATGCAGGGGCAGTCAGAGGGGTGGCCGGGGTGACAAGTGCCCCCCTCTTGTCCACCTCAGGTGCCACCGCTAAATAACTGATAAGTCGGTGGGAAGCTTGGATTTTGTATTTAGATTTAGTTTGAGTTTGTTCTATGATACTTAGGAATGGGTACTGAATTCGATATTTAAGTACAGACCGAATTCTGTCAATGCTACAGAGAACCTATTCATGTAACATCAAACGGTACCATGTTTYGGTACCTAAAGGCATCATTGCCACCGTATTGGTGTAAGTGTGGTGAGTTTTCCATGCTTGTCCTGAACGCAACATTGATCAAAAAGACTTGTTTATTTCAAATGAAAACTGAATCGTGCTGCCATGACGTTTTGGTTTGTTTCTGAGTTTGTCAGACCCAGCTTTTCCATTTTGTCTTCATTGTTGTTTAATAAATAACAAAACGTTGGAACCTGTTGTGTGTTTTTGTTCAATTTTAGAACTTTATAAAGACCAGATCATTTTTTATGTCCTGATATTTAAAACCTYGGAACTGAAGCTTTGCACCAAAGCTTTTATTTAACATCTCTATTCAGCTGTCAAACCTCCAATAATATTTGTATTTTAATATTAATTAACATCCTTAACGCCTAAATGTTACAAAATCTCTTTTTAAAGCTGTGGGAAACTCTGGTTGGAAAGACAAACTTTTACACCATGCTGCTGATTTATCTGTTGTTATTGATGCATTCATTTTCTAACTTGTTTGTTTAGGTGGTTATCTGGTGAAAGCTCCTATCGGCTGCTTTTACTTTTATTTTCTCCTGTTCGATAAATGGAAAGTCTGGGGAAACAAAAGCGAACACAATCCTCCACTTACCACCTCCAAACCTGCTATTTGTCCAGCCGCTTTTAAATGAGGAAAACATAAAAGGACAATGTCTCGGGTAACAAACTGGTTGTTCAGCCTAAAGCGCAGCAGCAGGGTTTGGATTTATTACCAGGATTTTTGAAAGTTAAAAAAAAAAAAAATCTGCTAAACTTATCTCTGCACCACATCTACAGGGAAACCAGCCTTTATAAATCAGATACGGTGGGGGATCTTTCAGAAGACACATGGAGAAAATGGATTTGTAACAGATGATAAGGATCTTTATCTGAACTCTGCTTGTATATAAACGTTACTTCTTCTTTTAAATCTTGATGTGCTTTTGCTCCAGTACTCAGCTCGAGTTTTCTAAGCTTCTGGCTTTWAAAAAAAAATGTAATTAACATTTTATTTATTGCCACGATCTGATATTTAAAGAAGAAAAGTCTAAAAATCGTCTAAACTCCTCACTGACCTCGCACTCCCACTCTTTTCAAACTTGGAGCTTTCCAGTTGTCTGAATAACTCCTTGTGTGGGACGAGGATGGAAAACTATATTTAAAGGCTTCAAAAAGCTTTGAAGTTAGAGATACAGRCTTTATTTTTAAAATAAAAAGTGTAAGTTGAAACTTACTGTCCACAGTATATTCTCCTCCACAGGCCAAACTGCTGGACTGTTTTAGATTCAGTTCATCAAACCTCAATTATAAATCATCTTTAATCACATAAATCTCATTTTACCTTTAAAAATGTTTTCAGTAAAGACTTCTCATGTGAAAAAACATTAATTTTAGATACTTAGAATTAGTAAGTTTCATAAATGAACCAAACATTTATCTCAAAACTATCCAATGAAACATTTCAGGTTGGAAATGTTTTTTTGTCTTTAGTCTATCATTATGTAAAATCATGTTTTTTACAACAACATAAAACATTTTCAAAAACAACTTTATTCTTCTGTTCTAATATCACATCTCGAGGTTTACGCAATTCGTTTTCTGCCAGATAAGAGATTTTCACAGTTCCAAAGTGCACYTGTTATGAAGGTCTCAGGCTCATCAAGATATCTCACAGAGAGAAAATATGAGAAACAAGATGGATTATTTATTCATCCATCTTCTTTACTCATCTTTTTATTGTCTACTTCCTGTAGATTGTTTTGGTGTTTGACAAACAACTTTGGGCCTTGATCAAAAAGGAGGTTGGGGAGGTGGTGTTTATTTTTATTTTCTCTCCAGGGGGGGGCATGGATTTGAAGGTGGAAAAAGTTTTTTTTTCTCACAATCTAAAAACTGGTGTAAAGTTGAAAGTCTCTACAAAAAAATAAAATAAAATAAAAATAAAAAGCAACAGTCTTTCCAGCTACAGCGACTTAAATTCGTCGTGTGACTCAATCGTGACGTATTTTTGGTCATAAGGTCTCTTCATATCCACACAACATTCTTAAATATCTGAATAAGTGTGTGATACACAAAAAATATTTTCACATTACTCGATAACAACTGTTTATTTGAACTGCTCCGTTTTCCTTCACAAAGCAAACAAAAAATAAAAAAAACCCGGAAATTTGAAATCACACAGTTACGGGAAAGAATGTGTTGTGTGACTCAATCGTGATGTATTTTTGGTTATAAGGTCTCTTCATATCCACACAACATTCTTAAATATCTGAATAAGTGTGTGATACACACAAAATATTTTCACATTACTCGATAACAACTGTTTATTTGAACTGCTCCGTTTTCCTTCACAAAGCAAACAAAAAATAAATAAAAAACGGAAGTTTGAACTTAAGGGAAAGAATGTGTTTCACAAAAATATTTCTCATTGTAAACAGGGCCTTAAATAATTCTCACAAATAATTAAATCATCATTCATTTAAATTGTGTGCATTAAAATTGTGTTTTTTTTAAAAACAATTGCTATTGTCAAAGTTAAAAAAAAAATAATTATAATTATATCGTTTAAAAATGGTTTGATTATATGTTACAACTGCCTGCCATACTCTGCCTATCTGGGACCAGAGTTCATGTGAAGCAGCCGGAGGTGTAGACCTTACCCTCAGTCTGTKCTGCTTTTAGTCCCACAGAGAGTTAGACTGAAGTCAAACGGAACAAAAACGTCTTTGTGACCTATTACACCAACAACAATATTTATTTTACAATTTTTAAGCGCTTTTCTTCTTTGCTCCTACGATTTCCGGGTTCAGGCTAAACTTTAGCCAATCAGCATTCGACCTCTGCAAGACGTCACCCCCGAGAGGTGAAAAGTTTGTTTTTGGACCTGAAACCTGCAGATTCCTCGCAGCTGGAAAATGACAGCCGAAATTTGGGACGTTGTTATTGTGGGTGCGGGATTATCCGGCCTGAGTGCAGCTCATTACCTGAGAAAACGAGACGCCAAGCTGAAAATCCTGATACTGGAGGGGAAAGGTTTGTTTTTCACACCTGGATAGCTGATCTGAAAAAGAAAGGGGCATTTTATTGATTGATTTGTTATTGATTTAAATGGGTTTGCTGTGACACAGATCGAGTCGGAGGTCGAACCGTGTCGTCTGAAATCCCAGCAGCCAATGGAGCTGATGTGTGGGACTTTGGAGGACAGTGGGTGGGAAGGTGAGACCAAAGACATGATTAATAATCAATTCTAATATGCCTAAAGCACCTTACATAGAAAAGGTATAACACAAAGTGCTTTACAGTGTGCAAAACATGAAATAAAACAAGCAGTTTAACCATAATAGTAGTAGTAATAATAATAATAATAATAATGATAATATCAAAGAGGGAGTGGTATAATTACAGCTTAAACACAGGACAGGCCTTTGTATGTTTTGCTTTCATAAAACTTAAAAAATTAAATTGTGAAGATTGCACACCACTCTCAGAGTATGTGTTGACAATGACTCTCAGCTACCACCACACCAAAGTTTAGCTCAATATCTGCAAAATTAATTGATTTACAGCCATTTTTGTGGCCAATGTCCATTTGCAATTTACTTTTTGCTGTTGCTCAAAATCAGCATTTTGCAATGCATTGTGGTCTAGATATATTAAATATATTGTATTATATTGTCTGCGTCCAGCTCATTAAAATCCACTTACTGTGTTCATCCCTGCCTATATTTCAGCTGTGCAACATTTAGCTGTCATAATASAAAATACCAATAATACATTTAAATATTTATTTTATGCATGTGTCTCCGAAACACAATCAGCTGTAGATACACATCCAGTGRTTACTTTCTGGGAGTTTTATTAAAAATCCTCGGAGTGGTTTATGAGGCTGTTTGCTGACACCACAGACAAACAGTCTGTCCCTTTGCCTCCTGCGATCGGTGRTAATTGATGACTCATTTTTCGGCCCTCGGTCATCGTAACTCTGCAACAAGTTCATGTATCGACGAAGGGTTCATTTTAAAATCAAAAGTCATCAGTGGCACTTAKACGGCGTGTCGACACTTTGCTGCCATTTGCTCACCTGCAGACTGAWTGTGGGCTGAGGCTGTCTCCAGTTTCCCGGGGCCATTAGCAGGATCAAAGCGGTGCAGCTGATCCAACCTTTGGAAGACTCCGAGGGAGGATTAGGAGCATCAATATTAATCACGCTAACAGATTAAGCACTCAATAACTAATTTGTATAAGAACCCTCGATGAAGAAGCTGTGCGACTTGTAGGCTCGGTTTGAACCTGTGTGCTGCAGGATTACTGTAGATGTTTTAACTTTGCGAATTCAGAAATAACTAGAGAAATTTGCATTTTATGCTAACACGCAGTGTGAATGCTGAGTGCTGAATAAATGTTGAAATCTATTGAAGTAGYTGAAACAAACTGATTTTAAACTCTACTCTCAATTTGACAGGGAGCCAGTGAAGAGAAGCTAWAACTGGAGAAATATGGACTGTCCCAACTTATCAGAACTCTGTCTGAGGCCACGAGATGATTATTAGTATCGTTTCATCTGTTCTAMGATGAGCTTTAAATCTGACCACGTGTTCACACAATTTATTTGCGACTTTATCCACAAATATATTTTTAGATAAACAAAAGACTAACAATACATCAACCCACATTGATATATCAAGTAAATGATTAATAATTGAATTAAAACAAGGCAAAACAAAAGCAYTGATCCATATCACCATCATATACCAGATGTAGATCTATATGTTCATCCAACACATCATTTGATGAACATATATCACATCATATCGATCACAGACTTGTGAATTTAATCAAAATCTTTTCTYGACAGAGTTTGTGATATCGAAGCATCGGATCGTCGTCTCAAACAAACCCATATATTGCATCGTGATAAACAGGGGTGTTCTGATTCGACAACAGTATTGAATATCAGTCCAATATAAGCCAAAAAATAAGTATCGGCTTATATTAACAACTGCATCTAACAGCACTCCAATAAAAGCAGTTTTTCTGTTCTATAATTCCTGTCCAGCAGCTTGGATCCAATATAAATCACTTAAATGACCTTGAATTGTTATTTTACACTTTAAAAGTGTGTTTTTGTTGGATTATTTAAAGGTGATTTTTCAGGGTCTTCATTTGTATTTTTTATCAATTTGATTTAATTGAAGWATATTCTTATGTTTTAGGTAAAAAATGTATGTTACCCATTGATACCCAATAAGACCCAATAAGAAATGGGTTGTTTTTTCTCATTTCTGCTGTTGTTGACTGTTGTTTACTGTTTGACTTGAGCAAGACTTAAAGATTCTACACTACATAATAAGTAATAAAAGTAAGCAGGATTTGTTCTGTTATTGTATCGAGTTGATATTGGTATTGGTGACAAARGTGCTGATTTACACCTCTATCCGCCTTACTTTTCACGGAGATACAAACACAGTCAGTTGTTGATTTTTGTGAGAGAATTCTGTTCAGGCACCTCTGCTCACTGGCTAACAAACTTTTCACTGTATTTTCTGTTTTTAATGTTTTACAGTCCTTGATGTTTGCATGCACTCAACACAAAAATATGTGCCTTCAGGCCCAGGCCTCCCTTGAAAAAGAGTTCTGTGATCTCAATGGGATTTGCCTGATTTAGATAATGGTAAATAAATAATATTAAAAACTATCTGTTATGTTTAACACTGCTATCTACATTAAATAAACCTAATGGGCAGCAATCTGATCACAACGAGGCAGCAGAATGTTATGGCCTTCCTTGTAAAAGATTGCCGCTGCGTGACTGCAGGAGTTCCCCTGAGAAGTGGCACAGGAGCATCCAGCCGTCTCTGTAGTGCCAGCTGATGTAATGAGGAACCATGCAGAGTGATCATCAGAYTTGCTTTGGCTTGGTTGAACATCAGCATTTATAAATTYCAGGTCATCAATATTGTTATTGATTAATTTCTTGCCAACTTTTCCACTGTGGGGGTACCGACACGCCTCTGTACTTTTGTCAKTGTGCATTGTAGACCCATCCRCACCAAGCACACAACACAATAGTTAAAAATGTCCTCGTACGTTACATGAGCAGAGGACATTTCTTCTTATCATCCTCCCACTGGAGAGTAGTTTGAGGGTCGGGCACTGACTTGATTGCTCAGGGATTTTTGGAAATGTTCCCACGACACAGTTCACCAGTTTAGTTAAGTTAGCCCAGGGAAGCAGTGAAATGGAACTGCCCCCACCCAAAAAATGATAATAATAATTATAATAATAATTTGGACCCATATGCACTTCTACATTCAAAAATAAGATGGATTAGACCTATGTATTGTCCTGAACAAACAGTTTAAATTATGCTAAAGTAGTTTGAACTTCAAGTAGTCCAAAGTAGAATGGGTAGTACATTCACTCGTGTGAGGTCCTACAGTAAAAGTGTCATTTGATTTAAAAAGAATGAGTTTTTATTTTTATATTTCAGATCAGAGCTAAGATATAACCACTCAGTTACTGTTTCTGATTAAAGGGCARCTGCAAAAAGACCATTTCATGGGGGAGCTGGAGCCTTTGTTCAGTGAGGTTRGAGGTTGCAGACTGAACGAATGCTGCAAACAGTAAAAATGGGGGTAATTATCTTTACCAGCAAGTAATTTTGTTGAAAAACTGTACACCTCACTATCTGTAGATGTGAATTGTTCCGGAGAACAACGAGATCTGTTTCCAGAGAGCGATGTCTCCTCTGGTTCCTTTCACTGTTCCAAAAATGCTCATTTAATTCCAGGGTAGCTGTATGTGTGAGTGTTTATAGTCTCRGTGTGACTTTTCATAGACTCGTAACCTTTTCATCTCAAACTGTCCCGGCAGAAACGCTTATTATGTTAGAAAATTGGGCAGATTCACAAAGAAACATAAATGCTTGCACACAGACCACCACAGAACTCTGGGGGTTTTATTTTGAAGACATTCATCGTGTATTCCTTTGGGCTRCAGTAGCTCAGCAGTCAGTGCTGTGGTCCTGTAATCCTGAGGCTGCAGGTTTGAGCCCGGGTTGTGTCAGAAAGCATATAATTTGCCAAATCTTTCATACAAGTTAGCTGGCTGTGGTAACCCCTGCAGAACGCTGTAACCATAGAGTTAAATAACACTAGATTGAGCCCCGCCTATTTAGTCTACTGTTAGTACATGACAACATGGAGGCACCCATACAGGACTGCAAACCCAACTGGATCTGTCACCTTTTAAAGTGATTTTACAATAAATTATTGTAATTGGTAATTATATTAATTCCATTCAACAATCATGTAAAACAGCAGATATATACTAAAAAATATATATATAATTTATAATGATCTAAACCAGACCTGAAGTCAGTCAATAACTTGGACTTTTTAGCTAGTTATAGCAATGAATGAAGTGTATTTATTATTTCTACCTGTTATAAATACTAGTACTACTATTACTACTACTACTAATAAAATATTAATAAGTTGTTGTTGTTGTTATTATGGTGGATGCTCCAATCAGGTTCTATCCTGCCGATACCGATCAGCTGGAGTGACTGTCACGCTCGTACGAGTGAGTGTTGGCAAGTGTGGGRTGCGTTAACTGCCATCTATTCCACGTCTTTTCATTCTCTGCCGTGAGCCTCGAAAACTCACCATCCTCCTCCAAGTGCTTGTTGTTTAAACACCGTATTAAGTTTGTTGTGTTGAAGGATTTTACCATACAGTACTTCCTTCACAAAGTATTTATTCCTTGTACGTCTTGCAGTTTGCAAACTTTGCATCACTCTCACAGACGGCGAAAAACTTCCAGATGGCAGACATGTTTGTTTATGATCTGTTCCCTCTACACGCCTGCGCTCTTCCCACTGCGCAGACGTAGGAGGCCGGGAGGGGGACAGTACACTGAATGCAACTACACACAGCCTCTGCCATATTATCAGTTTTTGTGATTGGCAATGGAAGGCATTTATTGAAAATGTTAATCACATACTTTTTCATGAAAATCRGCTGATATTGATTAGTGGCCGATCAATCGGAACACCAATAATTATTATAAATATTTACTAGTCGACACTTGGAAAATGYTCACTTYATACCTGRTGATACAAAACTTGTCGTTACTGATATTGGCTGGCTAACTGTCTTTTCAGCAGGTCATATTTGTCTAAAAGAAACSTACAAATGGTTGAATACATGATATTTTATGCTGTGTAAATATTACATATATTAGAGTCAAAACCAGTTTGTAATATTTAATAATTTGTGTTAAATTTTAGCATGATTCACCAGTACTACACTCTGTATAACTATATGCTGCTGAAGCTAATATCTGCTAATCATTTTAACAACAAACAGCTTATTTTAATTTTAAACTTTTACATGATTAGCTTCAGTTCTGCTCGGATCGCATCCGCATTGAGATAAATAAAGTAAAATCTGTCCGTCCGTCCGTTTTCTTCCTCTTATCCGGGGTTGGGTCACGGGGGCAGCAGCCTAAGCAGAGAGACCCAGACTTCCCTCTCTCCAGCCACTTGGTCCAGCTCCTCTGGGGGAATACATCCCAAGGTGTTCCCAGGCTGAGAAACATAGTCCCTCCAGCGTGTCATGAGTCTTCCTCTGGGCCTCCTCCCAGTGGGACATGCCCGGAACACCTCACCAGGGAGGCGTCCGGGAGGTATCCTAACCAGATATCCGAGCCACCTCAACTGGCTCCTCTCGACGTGGAGGAGCAGCGGCTCTACTCTGAGTCMCTGTCTCATCTGTTTACTTGTGAAATGAGACGTTTTCCTGTTTCTTTTCTGTTGATAAATTCATAACACACAGTTTTCTGACAGGTTAATAAACACTAGTTTATACACACTCTAATATATTAATATTTTTGTTAATATTATCATTAATAGTTTTTACTTTTACACAGTACAGTATGGTAAATCCAGGCTCTTGGTGGTTCTGGTTAACACCGCAGCTTCAACAGTAGATCAGACGGTCAGAGACTCACTCCATATAGAACAAACCTCCTCATCATATTTTGCTATATTTAAAAGGTAAAAAGTTGCCCACAGAAGCTGTTGAGAAAGCAACAAAGACGACAATCTWATCTGTTTTTGTGGCAACAGAAAAATATCACAGCAAAACTTGCGGCGCATTGCTTAAAAATGCAGCGTGAAAAATAAGAAACTTTGATATTTCATGCTCACAGCTGAGTCATTTTTGAAGATTTTTCTGGATCTTCAAGGATTCACTTCAGTTTTGCCTAAAGCCCTCTTTCTTTGCAACGTGTTGTGGTAAACATTCAGAATGAGATTAAAAAAAGGTTATTTAAACCTTCCACACCTGTATTGTGAAGTGTTGTAGAAGATGTGATTCAAAGAATAAAGAGACTTTGTTGAACGGTTGTCTTTATTGCCATCAGCAAGGCACAATAAAGCTAACCCACAATCAGCTCTGTCAGAGATCTTGAGTACCGAGGCCGTCTTTGAGTCCGTWTATACAGTACCTCTGACATCCACATGTTATCTGGGCAGACAAAAACATCTTTCCCCGGCTAGGTCAGTAAAAAGGTCACAAAGTCTTTGGCCTCGGCAGGGCCCAGGGAAGAATGCTACWGGAAGTATTTTTCTTTAACAGAAAGCTTTTAAAATTTCTTTTTCAGTACACAAAAGCATGTCATGGAGCTCATAAAAGAGCTGGGCCTGGAGGTCTATCCGCAGTTTAACACCGGCAAGAAGGTGCTCCACGTAGGCGGGCCGGATTCCAGAGTTCGAGTGTACAGGACCAGCATCCCTGCTCTGTCCCCGCTGGTGCTCCTGGACCTCACTCTGTTCCTGTGGAAGGTGAGACTTCAGGCACACATCTGTATTCTGTCCTTTRGACCGAGTTCAGTCGACGCCTTCTTTCCCAATGCTGCGAATCTGATAAGGATCAGCTAAACAGCCCCAATTCTCCGAGGAAAAACAGTGTACTTACCGAGATAAAGAGGGCTTTGATTTATTGCTTGTAAATGTCTGCATTAGGAACAAGGCGGCGTTCAGTTTGCCAGAGACACACTTTTGTAGTGGCATAGGTACACACCCATTGTGTTTTGCTGTGTTCCTTTTTTTTTTTTTTTTTTGGATCAATACAGTACATTTATCACGCAGCAAAGAAGCAGAATCTCCAGTTCCACATAAATGCTTCATGTAGCTAAGGGAAGTGGTGCAGGTGAGAGAAATTGCAGTGGCAAAATCGTGTTTGGCAGCCTCCAGCTATTCCTTTGTTGTCGTCTGTGTCACTGGGATGCTTTTGATTGTGGCTGGTAAGCCATCATGCTTGATGTGGTGATTATGCTCTGTTCGCAGATTGACAGGCTGAGTGGAACAGTGTGTGTCCAGGATCCCCTGAAGACTCCAAATGCTGTGGAACTGGACGGCATGACTCTGCAATCATACATCGAGCAACATGCTTGGACTGCAGGTCAGTTTAATTTGTTTAAATCTTCAGTTTTCCCAATGGGCGGTTGGTCAGACAGACCTCACAGTGTCAATATATTTTTCTACATAATTGGGATCAGATGTGCCCATTAGATATACACAAAAACTGCTTCTATCAATCCGTCAATAAAGCTGCAACTCAACTGTTTTATATAGGACTGTTCCAGAAATGACACATTTCAAAGTTGAGATCAATGGTACTGTTCACATGAGTAATTGTCATGTGAACATTGGGAGTTTGAAGACATTTATTAGTCATGTTAGATACTGATTTTAAAAGCGCTACACCATTTCCATAGTTTTYCTTTTTTACTATTGACTTTTATAATCCATTKTTTGACTATTATGTCTTGATTAAAATGGTTTAGATACAYRCCCRAAACACCATCACAACACATAAAAAACCRTTAATCAAACATAAGTACAGGTTTTTTGTCTGAGTGTCTGCGATTCAGCCGTAGGCYAGTAGTGAGCATACCGGGCACTGAAGAGCATGTATTTATACACCGGGACTTACGGTTTTCTTCAGCGTTGGTTTCCTGCTTGCACAGACAGCAATAAACCGGCGTTCACTCCAGTCACTGGTGTTGTATGGTCCATTCACTTCACATTTTAAGCTATTCAATATTTATGTAGTTTCGTCACGATTTCAGTTAACAAACACTAAATTTTCTTACAGTACTCATTGCCAAAGGAATTCATAAATATTGCGATGTGAAAAACTACACACGCCATCTTGTTGACGATGAACCATCACCGGTCTCACCTCTGTTTTGTTCGTCGCAAGGATATTTTCGCCTGTATTTGAGTTATTCTTGTTCTCTTTTATTGTGCTGAGACCTGAGTTCATGTTTCCATCTATCATGTGCTAATATGAATTGAGTTTTAACACCTCACATGTTACCTCTGTTTCCTTTAATATTAGCGTTCATGCTAATCGTATTTTGCCTTCAAATCCTCGGCTCATCTTCCTTATTTTCATCCACTTGCTTGTCATCTTTATCCACAGCTCAAGAGTTCACCGACACGTCAGAAAAACATTGCCAATATTGTCCCAGAAATTCAAAATCAAAGTTTTTATTTATTTATTTATTTTGGACCCCAAACAGCACGCTTCCACAAGTGGAGGCAGCCTGTCAAAATAAAAGTTGTAAGGCAACCATTTAGTGGTTTCATCCCTTGATAACACAATGTGTAACTATTATACACACGTACATCATGATGACTGACGATGCTCAAACAACGTACCGTGCTGCTCTAATGGCTCCCAACTACGACTACTGATTAACTTTTGGATCCAATGAATACTTTCTGAGTTTCATCAAAATCTGTCCAGTGGTTCATGACATATTTAGCTAACAGAAAAGCAACCATACAATAAAGATACACATAATACTGATGGTGGTCAGAGGGTCCGGTGGCGCCGATGTATGGCAGCCCCACCTCTGTCAGTGCGCCCCAGGGCAGCTGTGGCTACANCATCAGTGTGTGAATGTGAGTGTGAATGGGTGAATGTCTGTTAGTGTAAAGCGCTTTGGGGTCCGGAGGGACTTGAAAAGCGCTCTATAAGTTCAGTACCATTTACCATTTACCATTTAATCATGATGAAGGATGAAGGCCACTTTTTGTCTCATGCAGTTCAGTGAATAAAATCTTGCAAATTATGATTCATTCAACACATTTGCAAATATTAGGACAAATATTTCAATTCATAGTAAACCAACAATGTAAATATATGTGTATAAATGCACTGTCCATTATTTTCCTGTGAAAACGATTTATTTTTGAGAGTCATAGTTGAGCTATTCAATTCATCTGTGCTTTAAGTTCAGACCTCTGAAGCAAATGGAACGGTGTTTTTCCTTCATATGAAGGTGACCCTTGTCTGATTTAGTATTTTATTGGATTTCTAAGACATTCTTATTTAATTAACGTTGCTAAAAATACCTGTAGTGTGAGGATGGTTACTCTGGTGTTGGGGGGAAAAAAACGAGTAATTAAAGATCATTCTGTTTCTCTGGCACACGATGACAGCTGGCTCGTGCACTGCTTTAGATTTCCAGGGTCTACTTAAAGAAACGACCATCATACTAAGCTCCATCTGTACATTTCTGTCTACCTCCTGCTAATCAACAGATCCACACATGGCTGGATGACTCAACGTTCAACTGTTGCAGAGAAAGCTGTGTCCTCTGCTCTGGATCTGCAAAGTTAATTGCTGCAGCTATTTCTCTCCCTTTYCCCCCCTTGTTTTTACATGATTCCAGAGCTAAAAGCAACAAATTTATTGGATTTTCCTGCAGTGTTCTCATCTCACATGCTCAGAAAATGTTCCTGTTTGCTGTGGCTTTCATTGTCATGATCATTTCAATGTGATACTGTGAGAAGTGCAAATATGACAGAACAAGTGGAAACAAGTTTCTAAATCCATTTTAAGACTAGAGATGGAAGAAAATGCACAAAATGTTCCTGTGATTTAAAAAAAAACTTAAAAGGCAGCAAAAGGTTGCAAAAACACCTTCCGTGTTTGGAAGAAATTTCAAACTGAGTCAAACGAAAAGCAGAATGTTGCACACAAATCAAAGTGTTTACTTTGCAGCCATAATAAAGTCATCCTTAATGGTTGCAAATGCATAATTCAGAAGGTGATGATCTGTAGACATGACGTTTGGTGAGCACGCATCCATTCGTTTCTGCTCATATTTGACAGATAACATTAGGTTTAGACACTCAGCCGCTGATGTGAAAGGACTTGTGGCTTTAACTGACATAATCAGATGTTTTGTTGCAAAAATTCGACTTTTCCATGCTGGATTTATCGACTTCACGCTAAGCAAAGAAGTCAAATTTTGACAAGATGATTATAGGTAATAGTCGCCCTCTGGAGCAGGACAGGAGCTCTTTTTTTTGCGGTGGAATAAAGTGCCGTTTTGTGCCGTCGTTACAGGAAAATGTCTGATTATTGCACGTCTCCGTGTTCTCACCCACCCACCCCCTCTGTGACAGAGCTGAAGGAGCAACTGGGAGTGTGCAGCAGGTCTGTCTTTGGCATGGAGCCATCCCAGATGTCGTTTCTATTCTTCCTCATGTATGCTGCCGCAGCTGGAGGGGTGCTGGCACTTCTGGAGAGCACTCCAGGCTGTGCTCAGGAGTTCAAGATAAAGGTACATCAGTCGGATCGCTTCCTCCTCGGCTTAATTGTAATTTCAAAACTGGAGAACGTGCACCACTTGAAGTTTGAGGCTAGAATAAGTTTCCAAAGTAATCGATGTTTGTATCTCTGCATCTGAGCCTTTCCCTCCTCTCACTCTCGTAAACGTGTAGAAACAGGCCCAAAGCCAGAAACAGGCAGTGGGAACTAATGGATTAACAAGGTCATTCAGAACATGGAACCAATGCTTTTGGTCCAAAACACCCATAAAAGCAATATTTTTTTCTCCTTCCACTTTTTTCATCAGTAGCAGCTTTCTTATGATTTCATTCCAGACATCCCCTGAAGAAATGATTGTAAACATGGAAACAGCCCAGACGCAGTAAGACCATTACTGTAAATGTCATTTTGGAATGGATCTAGTTCTGTTTGTTGCACACCAGAAATAATTCAAGGCTAAAAATAAAAAGCAGCTTCACGGTGGGCACAATGTGACATTAAAAATTACTGTGAAAATACACAGAAATACTCTTAAATATGAAGTTTGCAAAACGAGTTAGCACTTCTGGCTTCATTGTGAGAAAAGCAGTTATTATAAAGTTACTTTCTGCATTAAAAACTAAAATAGTGGGTGACACAGTAGAATAAAGTTTATTCCACAAATGTGTTCACATTTTAATGAAAAATGTTTTTGTGAAAATAAGTTTAAAACCGTGTGAACAATGATAATGTATTTTCAACAGTGTTGTATAAAACAGAGATTCTTAACCCCTGGACCGCGGCCCAATTGTGGGCCGCAACCGCCACCTTGAGGGCCTCAAAAGAACAGCAGTTTTTAACTTTGGGACACAGAGGGCCGTGGRACCGCATTGATTTYGAATTAGGTGCAATACACTTTCTCACTACTAGTAGCAGTAGTGYGCCACTCAGATGTTTAACARCTTTTTTTATATGTAGAAGAAGAACCTTAGAAACCTGCCGAGAATGTAAACCTATTTTAATTGAAAATTAGAAGCAAAAATGAAAGTAACTTGTCAAAAAAACACCAAAGTTTGTCACTAACATGAAGAGCAGCTTCTGGTTTTAACATGCAATATTTTAAAAGTTCAAAACATTATCAAATACAGTTGCAGATACAACTATATTTTAATTTGCACTTTAAATTAATTTTGTAGTTTGTTTTTAAACATTTTGAACGTATTTTAAAGAAATTTTAAACTTGCCAAAAAGCTGTTGTAACTGTAATTGTTTGTCACTAATATGAAGAGCAGCTTCTGGTTGCAAAAGTTAAAAATGAGAAATTATTTTTTGTAGTTTATTTTTTAATATTTTGAATGTATTTTAAAGAGATTTTAAACTTGTCAAAAAGCTGTTGTTACTGTTATTGTTGTCACTAATATGAAGAGCAGCTTCTGGTTGCAAAAGTTTAAAAAGCTATATTTTCCATCCATCCATCCATCCATCCATCCATT